CAGTGGCTGGAGGACCTGAACAATTCGATAGTGGCCACTTCGTTCAGACAGTATCAAACCTCACAGCAATCACCAAAAACAAAACCGATGTAACAAACAAAACAGACGATGTATTACCTAAAACCAGAAAATGTGGTACTATGCTAGTACCACGAGGGCATAAGGACGTTATCCAATGTCAGCTTTCCTATTGGTATGTTGATATCAAAAGCTCCAGTGGCTATCACAAAATATTAATCAGGATAACCTCGAGCATCCAACACATCTATCAGCCTGCGAAATGAAGCGGGCCCTAGCATGCCCGCGTACGTGTCATCAGGAGGGGCCGGATAGCAATCTCCCAGCACATGCAAATCCCGCATTCCCCTGGCTGCGCGCACCACCACATTCAGCAGATGCTCATTGGCCGTCGTGCAGTGCACCGCCAGCTGGCGCAGCGACTGGCATGACCCGAGAATCCCCGCCGATGGCATCGACATGGATCGACGGTTGAGATCGCAGTCGGACGGTGGCCAATAGTGCAGCGACTCCAGCCCTGGCAGCAGCTGAATCCCATGCAGGTAAAACCTTTCCCATGCCATCACATCAAAAGCAAGCCCAGGCGGGCAGCTAAGAGAATGCCCCACGACTTGCGTCAAATCAAGGCGCAGAGAGCGAACCGCGGGATAGCTGCGGAGGCAGGATAGGCCGAACCCCACCGCCTCAGGACCTGCAGCCAGCCGGCAGTCGCCGTACGCTCGAATGTGGATGTGAGAGAGGGCGGGGCAGTGGAGGAGGCCGGCAGAGGGGAGAGGAGAAAGGAGGGCTCCGAGGGGGGCGAGGAGAGTGAGAGACTGCAGGGCGGGCCACTCGGAGGAGGATTCTCCTGCAGTCGACGCATGCTCTGCTTCAGGGTCACACAGCAGCTCCTCTGTACTGTCTGTCCCTGCCATGCCTTCCAGCCTTCTCCCACCTGGCTGCTTCACCATCCCTGCCCCTGCTCCAGCCATACCCTCCCCTGCACTCTCACCATTACCACCACCCGCACCACCATCACCAGTACCATTAGCTCCAGTGTGAATCGGAGAAACAGGGGCCACGCCGCGATTGGGGCAGAGCCAGTCGCAGGAGCAGTGAAGGTGCTGCAGCGTGCTTTTAACAGGGGAAAGAGCCTTCAGCACCGCTGCGGTGGGCAGGTTGCAGCACTTCACTACAGTCACCCGAACCAGCGAATGCCGGCACACCCGAGCCATGGCCTCCAGGCTCGGCGGCGTCAGGTCCGGGCAGCCCCAGATGCTGAGCTCTTTGAGGCGCGGGCAGGAGAGGGCGAGCGGGAGCAGGCAGCGCAGGGGGAGCGAGGGGGCCTGCCAGAAGTCTAGAGCCTCGAGACCGCTGGGGAGAATGGTGGAGGTGGGGGGAGGGGAGGCAGCAGATGATGGTTGTAAAGTGGATGAGGAGGGGAGGGAGGACGAGGGAGGGGAGGAGGTGGAGGAAGGTAGGGAAGCGGCAAGCGGTGCCTTTCCAGATAAACCCTCTCCAGATGTACCTTCCCCAGACGCAGTGACCGCTCCCAGGGAATCATTGTGGGCGAAAACAAGCTGACCCAGCCGCAACCGCTTCAGGTTGGGAGTCAACTGCCCCAGACTCACCGCTGCAGTCACCCCACCCCTCCCTAAACCACCACCACCACCAGCAACACCGCCACCACCAGCAGCACTGCCAAACAGGCTCGCATCAGCTCCCCTCAAGTACTGCGCGGGCCTCAGGTCCAGCTCCTCTAGCCCCGGTAACCGCGCGAGAAACGACCGAACGCCCCCCGGCGTAACCCTTGCATCCATATCCGGCGGCAGGGTGTCTTGATCCACTAGCGGGAGCGCTAGCCCCGAGGGCGCCGCCCACAGGGAGGAATCCACTAGCTGCAGCGCAGTGAGCGCTGGGCAGCGCTCGGCAATCTCGATTAGGGTTTCGTCGGTGAGGGAGTCGGCGAGGCGGGGGTCGAATTCCGTGAGGCACCGGAAGGAGAGAAGTGCGCGGCCGGCCGCAGCGAGGATGGCGCGGATGTCGGAGGATTTGAAGGCGCCGGGGGACGACTTGAGGAGGTTGAGGTGGCGCAGGGCGGAGAAGGGCGCGTGGGGGCGGGGGAGAGGGGCGCGGGGCGGCTTGCCGGGGGGTGCTGCTGCTGCTGCTGCTCCTCCTCCTGCTCCATTGGCTGACGCAGCAGCAGCAGCAGCAGCAGCGGCGGTGGCGGCGGCGGTGGCGGCGGCGGCGGCAGCAGTGGCAATGGCAGCGGCGGCTTGGGGGGCGGCAGTGAAGGCGTCAGAGACATGGTCGGGAAAGCAGGTGAACTCCGATAGGTCTAGGCTCCGCAGCTTCCCACACATCACCAGCAGAGGCGTTAGCTCCAGGGTCCCCAGCGGATTGGCGTTCAAAGCGGTGCCATTGGTACGATTATGGTTGTCGTTGTTGTGGTGGTGGTGGTGGTTATGCCCTGCTGCTGCAGCTGCTCCTCCTACTGCTCCCCCACCTGCTGCTGCTGCTGCTGCTGCTGCTTCCGCTGCTGAAAACTCGTGCCAGCGGATCAGAGCCACGTCCTCCAGCCATGGCCACGTGGCAGCCACGCACTGGACGTCGTTCCGGTCGCGCACGTGCACGCGGAGGGAGGTCACCCGCGGAAAGGCCGTGCGGAGCACTGTAGCTACCTCCAGCGCGGTCCCCGCGAGCAGCAGCGGCTGCCCGCAGGGGGGGCAGAGGGAGAGGTCGAGGCGGCGCACGTTGGGGAAGCAGAGGGGGAGCTTTAGGAGGTCCGCGAGGGAGCGGCGGAGGGATAGGGAGGTGCGCGTGAGGCGCTCGCTGTTGCGCCATCGGCGGGAGACGAGGGCGCAGCAGTTGCGCGCGCGCGCGTCTGACACCCGCGCGATGATCTCGAGGATCACCTCGTCGGGGAGGACCCCCTCGGTCGTGCTCTCTGCTGCTGCCACGTCAGCCTCTGCAGCCTGCACAGCGGCTTCCCCAGCTCGCTCCACGTCAGCTCCACATTCGGCCACGTTACCTTCACCTTCAGCCACGTCAGCGTCAACTCTGCTACTCGCACCAGTCGCACCCCGGTCCCCCTCACCTGCACCTGCTACTTCTAAGAACCTTCTTAGACCAAACGGCCGATTTGCAGAGAGACCAAACCCTAACCCGTCAGCTGCAGCGGCTGATGCGCTCGCGTTCACGGGAGCTTGGGCCACTGAATTCGCGGATAACGGGGACGCATATAACGAGTGCGCGTATACCGAGGACACATGATTGGGTGTCGTTTCAAAAACGTCATCCTCCTCCTCCTCCCCAGCAGTCCCCCTGACGGAACCGTCTAAAACGAAATCGCCGTCATCTCGGCCGTCTGTAAAAGCGGGGCCGTTATTCTCGAAACCAATTCCGTTTGCGTCATCCGCCAAACGATTTCCGTCATCGTCCTCCAAATCCTCACTAATTCCGTTTTCGTCGTCCTCCTCCTCCTTCACTTCCTTTGCCCTCCCATTCTCACCCTCCCCACCATCCTCCAAATCATTCGACTCAAAACCATGGCCTCTCAAGCTAAACACATCCCTTCCCCCCGCCAAGTCCGGCACACTCGGGCTCCTCCCCCTCTTCCTGCTAATACCGGCAGGGCTCATGTTCCCAGTAGAATGACCGTTCAAGGCGGGGCCGGTTCCGTTATCGTCCGCACCACACCCGTCGGTACCGTGATCGTTCGTACCATAACCGTTGGGACCGTGACCGTTCGTACAGTGATCGTTAGTATCACGGTCGTTAATGTCACCAATCCCATCCTCCTCTTCTCCCTCTTCCTCCGCTTCCCCTTCTTCGGTCTCCTCGTCGAAATCACTATCCAGGTCCCCGTCGCTGCTTCTGCTTTCCTGCTCCTCCTCCACTGCCTCCTCCTCGACAACCCCCTTCTCCACGCCCGGCTCCTCCCACGCATGGCTCCTAAAGAACACGCCGTTGCCTGCGTTCATCCTGCGTTTCCGCCTTAAATCCTGATCGCTTGATTATAACACGCAACTAGCCTGGTCGTCGGTGCCGCCCCCGCGAGTGCATCAGTACTTTCTGAATCAAAGAAAACCTCCTGGAGCGGTTTTCCTCAGTAGTAGCGTCTTCATCCGAAAATCCCTCGCAACACAGGTCTGTTTCTCGCCTAATCTAGCTTTCAACGCTTGTTGAGCAAGTCAGCAGCACCAGATTGCCTGAAACAGCCGGCTGGTGTGCGCAGTTGGTCGGAAGTGATAGAAATCAGGCGATGGAGGGATGCTGGTATCTCACAACTACCCCCACAAGCAGAGCAGAGACCAGACAAAAGCTTGATCCAGGATCTTCACTCTGCTGGGCTGCGTTTCGAGTGGGGTGGGATGGAGTGGAATAGAGTGGGGTGGAGTGGTTGTGCAGGGTGGAGTTGGGTGAAGGGGGCGGGGAGGGCGCAGAGGCGGGGGGGGTGCGAGGGGGGAGCAGAGGAGGCAGGTTGCCCTTAGAGGCATCCACCTGAACCGAGCTGAAACGTAACCAACCCGTCCAGACCAGGGATACCGTACTGCCAGCCCAAGTGTGTCTCTGCCACATTTTTCGTGTCATTCCCGTGTCAAATGTGATGCTCCTTTGAGACTGTACTGTACACGGCCTGCCCAATCATGTAATTGCTTCACTTCAAAGGAACTGGTTTGGTAACGAACCTACTTTGGCTTGGGGTGGTCAGACCGAAGTTGGTTTTGGCTTCGAGACGAGCCTTGGTGTGTTTGGGAAGGACCTGACCTGAAATCGAAGGCGCAGGGGAAACGGCAGAAAGTACAGTAATTTGGCTGTAGTTTTCTGTTCGACTCAAAGGCTAATAACGGGGAGCAGCCTGAGAAGTTGAGTTGAGAGCTCATAGGACGTTGCTAGAACTTAGCATTTCTTCAAATGGGTATGTGGATTGTTGCATCGCGATCTTGAAGGCATGCACAAGGACTTTATCGCATGGCAGTGGGCAAGGAAAAAGGCTGAAGCTTACACCTCAAATCAACTATTTACAGTAGAAACAGTTGTGCAAGGAACCTGAGATTAGACGAATAACAAGCAGAAAAGGCAGGAAGATATCATGCCATGCATTGAGGGAAGTGAGAAGCACCCAATTAACATTGGATGTAAGAACAAGTGGGATGGAGGAAGAAAGTGATAACAAGAGGGGGAGGTGCTGGGGGTCGGGAAGAGAGGAGGCAAATTAGGAAAAAGAGGGTACAGAATGAGAGAACAAGATCAGCATGGACTGAAGGGGAATAAGATGGCAGGTTGATGAGGGGACGGGACAAGTTGGGCTCACCAAAAGCATTGGCCTCTCCACATAGAGATTAGTCCACTGCTGCACTCCTTCACTGCCTCAACTTGCTTCTCGCAAGCAAGACTCCTGCTCATGTCCCTCCCTCGTATCTCCTCTCCCCCCCCCCTCCTCCGCACACACGTCACCATACAGCCTCTCAAAATCCTCGTCCTTGAGCCGCAGCACAAAGCTCAGGCTCACATGCAGTCCGGCCCGAGCCACACCCCCGAGCCTCGGCCGAATCCGCCGAACCAAACTGTACCCAAAATACTGCGGGTACTGAACCGCCTCGTCAATACCCCTGCCCACTTCTTCCAAGTACTGAAGCTTTGGCATCAAGTTATCATTCCAGCTGTAATTGAATAGATGAGGAAATCTTTGGAGCATGTTGATGGTATGGTGAGGGGGGATGCCATAGCTGTCAAATGCGGCAATAGTGGGGAGAATCCGCTTCGTGATGGAAAGCCCGAGGATCGATGGGTTGGCTCGGATGAGTTTCGCAGGCTTGGTGATCCCCGAACCAAGCCAGAAGGCTAGGGTGGGTTGAAGGTTTTCTGAAATGGAGTAGGTTAGGCAGCGGGGGTGGCGCGAGATCACCACAGGGATGTCACGCGATTGGTCGAGTCCCCATGCTTCCACCAGGTGGGAGATTGTTGGGCAGATGTTGTTTTCGATACTCAGCCCGAGGAGCTGTGGGCAGGCGGACAAAACTTTTCCAATCAAGCCCGGTTGGACGCCAATGGAGGTGAGGTAGTCCGCCATGGCTCGGGCAATTGAAGGCGGGTAGAATAAAAGTTTGGGGAAGGAAGAAAGGGCTTTTCCCGTGTCAACCCCCAGGCTTTGGAGGAAAATCAGTCTTTCCATTGCCACGTCAGCAGGCATGGCGTGGTACTGAGTCAGAATGCGAGACATCTTACGTGGCTGCACCCCAATCTCCGTCAGCATCAGCCGCCACTCCGCCTCTGACGGACTCATGTGCGTGAATGAAGATCCCCTAGTCCTTTTACTACCATTTTCGCTGCTGCCGCTGACGACGCTGCCGCTGCTGTATGAGCGCCAGGCGAATCTTCTAGTCGTCGCACTCGTCGCACTCCCATGGCTATTCGGCAGCGAATCTCGTCCGGATCCGGTGAATGCAGCCGTTTCATACCCTGCTTCTACACACGTGGATGGATCCCCCTCTCGACTCCCCTTCCCAAAACGGCATCGTAAGCGCCTCGCTACCTTGCCTTCCCACGGAAAGCCTGATCTACTGCTTCTCCCTGCTGCTGCTGCGGCCTGGCAACGGGTACATCGAGTCAAAGTGAAACGCACCGACATGAAATGCCGCGGAGTGAAACGGGTTGAGATGAAACGACCGGACACGACACTGTCCATCCCGCGTGATGAAAGCATGGCTACGGGAACAAAAGCTTGGCCATTTCGTTAGAGCCTCATCGAATGAGTGCGGACGCAGAGAGCGGCTTGCATCAAGCGGAGTCGGGTGAAAAGCCCAGAGGTACAGCACTGGCCACCGCCAGGGGAAGTGTAATGCGTGAGGGCAACAATTTTTGATGGGCTGCGGAAGGCGGATAAAGGGTAGCGCGTTACTCGCACGACAAGGGAAGACTAGGTAACACTGATTATGCTGAAATCATATGTTCCTTTTTGTTGCTCCATGCCATGTGGTTCAATTCAACATCATCACCCCATCCTGTGCAGTAAATTACGTGGCATGTGGCAGAACCTGACATGGACTCATGCAATACATGGAGGGATCCAACATATCATCTGCTCTGGCAAGTAGACGAATATGGTACATGTGTGAGTGTGACTCTGTTTCTAGCAAGCTCCATCAAGACAGACACACCTATTTCAACGTGGGGCACTTGGCATCAAGGAAATCCCTGAGCATTTGAGCCGAGCGCATGCCGCCCATAAGTGGTGCCAGCTCATCAACACGCATCATCGCCAGCTCAGCCAAGCTGCCGCAGTTATCGACCAATGAGCGGTAATTCGCGTCAGAGACCCCGGGCAGGCGCCGAAGGAATTCCACGGCTGTTGTGTTGAAATGCTCGTCTCTGGTGGGTGGGTGAGTGATAAGCGAGAGAAGCATGGGGTGGAGAGCACGAGGTACGAGTGCATAACAGAAAGAGCAAGGGAGAGAGAGCGAGAGCAAGAGGTATTTGAGCAACCACCCTAAGTGGTCACTTTAGACTGTGCACTCAGCTCCATACTCCGGCTCGCGTGTTGGAAGCGCTTCAAGGGTAACGCCATACCATGGTCTGCCAAACTCCATGGCAACCGTCCTCACCTCAAGTCCCATTTCCTCATATAGCCCTCATTACCACTTATTTCCTCACTTCACATCTCCCTACCTACCTCATATCGCCATACCTCATATCGCCATACCTCATATTGCCCTCAACTCATATCGCCCTACCTGGTGTCGCCCTACCTGGTATCGCCCTACCTGGTATCGCCCTACCTGGTATCGCCCTACCTGGTATCGCCCTACCTGGTGTCGCCCTACCTGGTATCGCCCTTCCTGGTATCGCCCTACCTGGTATCACCCTACCTGATATCCCCCAACCTGGTATCCCCCTACCTGCTATCGCCCTACCTGGTGTCGCCTAACCTGGTATCCCCCTACCTGGTATCGCCCTACCTGGTATTGCCCTACCTGGTGTCGCCCTCCACCAGACCATCTTCAGTCGGCACGCCGACCCTCATCGCCTGGTCGACACTCGGCTCGTCCTGATTGGTCTTGAGCGACGCAAAGATCTCAGCCGTCGCATGGAGCGATCTGGACCACACGATCCGGAGGCGCGGGAAGTGCAGCGCGAGGAGAGACATCTTGGATATGATGCTGGATGCGGTGATGTCATCGCTGATGTCACTCGCTGACTGTGAGAGGGGGGACAGGCAGGAGGGTGGGGTGAAGAGAGGGGGAATCCAAAGAGATGAGTGAGCGACTGTTAACAGGATGAGGTTGGATGGGCTGATGTCATTGCTGACATCACTTGCTGACTGGGAATGGGAACCAGGGGAAAGGAGGAGTGAAATAGGCAAAGTGTTGAAGAGGCAGTGAGGCTCGGCTGGTGGAACCATGCTGATGGGCGTGATGCTAGCGAGTGCTGATGCAACAAAAAGCTGTCATTACCTGAAACGAGAAGCTTTTATCGCCTGTGGTATCGGCACATGGTCATTTTCTCAGGTGCCTAAAACATCGGCGCATGGTCATTAGGTGCCTAAAACATCGGCGCACGGTCATTAGGTGCCTAAAACATCGGCGCACGGTCATTAGGTGCCTAAAACATCGGCGCACGGTCATTAGGTGCCTAAAACATCGGCGCACGGTCAGTAGGTGCCTAAAACATCGGCGCATGGTCATTAGGTGCCTAAAACATCGGCACACGGTCATTAGGTGCCTAAAACATCGGCGCACGGTCATTAGGTGCCTAAAACATCGGCGCATGGTCTCTGCCTGGTGGTGCACCCCAACTTGAAGGAAGCAAATAGCAACTCTCGTTACCTGCAATGAGAAGCTGTTGTCGCTGGAGAATTCAATAAGGAGGACGGGCAGCCGGTAGCAGCGGCACATGGTCTCTGCCTGATGGTGCAGGCACCCCGACATAAAGGAGGGAAATAGAGATTCTCATTACCTGCAATGAAAAGCTCTTATCGCTGGAGAACTCAATAAGGAGGACAGGCAGCCTGTAGTAGCGGCACATGGTCTCCGCCTGGTGGTGCAGCCGCCCCGACGCAAAGGAGGCAAAGAGGTCGCTGACGCTCTTGCGCTCCACACAGAGGTCCGGCGAGAGGATGTAGTCGCCCACTTCGAGCGTGACTGGATGTATCTTCATGCCCCTCTGGTGCAGCACGCAGGGGAGGCTGCTAGCGAACTCCCTCATATCGACTACCACCTGGGGGTGGTTGCATGTTTAGAGAATGACGGAACAGAGAGACGGAAAGAGGTGCTGCTCTTGCGCTCCACACAGAGGTCCGGCGAGAGGATGTATGTAGTCGCCCACTTCGAGCGTGACCGGGTGTATTTTCATGCCCCTCTGGTGCAGCACGCATGGCAGGCTGCTGGCGAACTCCCTCATATCCACCACCACCTGGGGGAGCATGCAAGATGGACGGAGAGCAAGGTGGGTGATGGGAGGGAGAAAGGCATGCGAAGGGCCACATAAGCTCCCTTCACAAGCACGTCTAATCTCCCTTGGCTCGGCGTCTGCTCACACTGCAACACCCAACCTTTTCCTCATCCCCCTCCCCTTCCGTTGACCGCCTCTCCCCTCCCTCTTCACCCTCCTTCACCGTCCGCCTTACTTGATGTCTCGCTGTTGCCCTATGCTCACCCTCCCCCCCCATGGCAGCAAGGACGGTAGGACAGAGGCAGCGTGCATTAAGGCAGCTCTTATACAACCCCTTCAGCGCCCAACCCTCCCCCATCCCCTGCTCCCGCTCCCCATACCCCAACTGTGCTCACCCGCATCTCCTGTCTCTCTGCTGCCCTCCGCCCTCCCCCTCTCCTCGTAATGGCATTGGCAGCAGCGGGGTGGGAGGGAGGCAGCCGAGGCAGGCTCATGGGAAGAATCTCCGAGGACTTGCCGTCCTGATGGTGGTGAGAACAGCGAGCAGAAGAAGATAAAGAAGAGAAGAAACGACAGGAAGGAGAGTGGCGGTGAGAATCAGCAGCATACGGGACAGCGGCAGCAGTGGCAGGCTCACGGGGAGAGTTGCCGAGAACTTTCCGTCCCGATTAGATATGGTCAAAATGTGATGCGATGCGATATCGCATCGCATTTTGACATATCGCGCATTATATCTCGGCGATGCGATATCGCATCGCCGCGATATTTGTTTGAAAAAACCCAAAATCGCATATCGCGTTTTAGGTGCGATATTTGTAAATATCGCGCTGTAGAGTGCGATATATCGCGCGATGCGATAAAATATCGCATCGCCAGGGCTAAATTTCAGGGTTAAGTAAACTACAGCAGCAATTTGGATAGTTAGATAACTGGGAACTGCCGAAGGGTTTCAAACAGGGGCACAACACACCATTACAACGTCGCTTCTAATAAATAAACAGCAAAAAAAATTTGGCGAGCTCCAAATATCGCGGGCGATTTTTTTAATATCGCGAATCGCATATTATCGCCTCCAAAAAAGTGCGATATAAACGCAATATCGCGCGATATAATCGCATCGCATCGCCGCGATATTTGTAAAATGGAAATAAAAATCGCAATCGCAAAATGCGATATAATGCGATGCGATATGACCATGTCTAGTCCCGATAGGGGAGAGGAGAGCGAGCAGAGGAGGGGGGAAATGAGAAGAACAAACAGGAAGGGAGGCGTTGGTGAGAAACAGCAGCGGGGTGGGAAAGGGGCAGCGGAGGCAGGCTTTCTCAGTCGATACCTGTTCCACCAGCACCTCGTCAGCACCTCTTCAGCACCTCGTCAGCACCTCGTCAGCACCTCGTCAGCACCTCTTCAGCACCTCGTCAGCACCTCGTCAGCACCTCGTCAGCACCTCTTCAGCACCTGCTCTGCCGGGATGGTCACGCCAGCCTTCTGCCTCTTGAGCTGCTCAAAGGCGCCGTTCCCTGCTGATACAAACAAAAACTTCTCTGCTGGCACGTGGAAAGCTACCTGTTTTGCCGGATCGGCTGCTCCAAGGCACTGTTCCTTTTTTAAGCAGACGAATGCTTTCTCTGTTGAACATGCGCAAAGCTACCCGCTCTGTCGGCACACATTAGAACCTCTACCTGGTCTGCAGGGATGGCCATGATGGCCTTGTGTCGGAAGAACTGCTCGAGCGTGCCGCTCTCTCTTGAAACAGACAGATGCTTTCTCTGTCAACCGTGTGTAATGAGTTGACTCATTACACACTCTTGAAGCAGACAGTTGCTTTCTCTGTCAACCGTGTGTAATGAGTCGACTCATTACACACTCTTGAAACAGACAGATGCTTTCTCTGTCAACCATGTGTAACGAGTCGACTCATTACACACTCTTGAAACAGACAGATGCTTTCTCTGTCAACCGTGTGTAATGAGTCGACTCATTACACACTCTTGAAACAGACAGATGCTTTCTCTGTCAACCGTGTGTAATGAGTCGAATCATTACACACTCTCGAAACAGACAGATGCTTTCTCTGTCAACCGTGTGTAATGAGTCGACTCATTACACACTCTTGAAACAGACAGATGCTTTCCAGATGTCAACAGATGGAACGCTACCTGCTCTGTCAGTACCTGCTCTGCCAGTACCTGTCCAGCCAGAATTGTCATGACGGCCTTCTGCCGGATGAGCTGCTCGAACGCAGCACTCTCTTTTGATACGAACAGAATACTCTACTCTGTCGGTGAATGCCCAGTACCTGTCCAGCGGGGATGGTCATAACAGCCTTCTGCCGGATGAGCTGCTCGAACGCGCCGTTCTCCCGCCGCACACTCGCCTCGAACTTGTGGCCCTCCGTGGAGCCCTCGTAGAACAGGAACAGCACGCGCAGGGGGGGCAGCAGGGACTGCACAGTGGCAGCAGCAGCGGCAGCAGCAGCAGCAGCAGCAGCAGCAGCAGCAGCAGCAGCAGCAGCAGCAGCAGCAGCAGCGGCGGCAGCAGCAGCAGCAGCAGCGGCAGCAGCATCCGTGGCTGCCCCCCCTTCAACCAGAGACTCCATTCGGCTCCTGCCTTCACACACGCCTGCATCTCCCCCCCTCTCAGAAGCGCCTTCGTCCCGGGAAGGCGCGGTGTTTTCCTCCCTGCCCGCCGCGCTGGAACGAGCACTCGCCCGGGTAGCGTGGAAAACTTCGATCTCGCGCACGAGCTCGATGTCAGGGTCGTAGACTACAACCACGCCCGGCTGTAGCGCCGCCAGCACGTGCGACGCACCCTCGAGGGTGCACAGGTGGACAGCTGGCAGCCTGCCATTGGTTGAGGGAGGGACGAACTCGAGGCGGATGCAGGGGGAGAGGGAGGTGGCGGGGAGTTGTGGTAAGTGAGGGGTGGAGTTGGGGGGTGCAGTGATGGGGGGTGGGAGGTCGGAAGGTACAGGATTAGCCGGCTGGATGGCTGGAATTGAGGTTGGGATGGGTAGTGAGGAGTTTGGGTTGGTTGGCTGGACTCTTGCCCGTTTTGCCCTCTTTGCCCCTTCTGCCCCCTCATTTGATTCCGCACTACCCTTCCCAGTTCCCTCACTGTCATCAACACCCTTCCTTATTGCCTCACTATCCTCTATAAGCACAACGTCACTATCACTATCACTATCCTTGTCACCATTGCCACCACTGCCCCTTCCAAGCCCCTCCCCTTGCTCCTCCTCCCCTTGCTCCGTCTTCCCTTCCTCCTCCTCCAAACAATCTTCCACCCCTCCTCGTTTCCGCTTCCTCCCTCCTCCCCTCCCTTCCCCCCTCGCTCCGCACTCTTCTCCCCCTCTTTTCCTTCCTCCGTTCCCTCCCCTTCCTCGCCCCCTCCTCCCCCTTCCTCTCCCCCTACCCCCCTCCCACTCCCCTCTCTCTCTCCCCCCTCATCAACACCCTCTCTCTCCTCACTTCCCTCCCTCCCCACTCTCTCCCCCTCCCCATCGCCTTCCCCCTCCCCTCTCTCACCCGCACTTGCCTCTCCTTCGCCCTCCCTCTTCTCCCTCTCACCTCCTCCTCTCTCACCTCTCCCATCCACTTCTCTCGCCTCTCCAGCCTTCCCCACCCTCAATGCCAAATCCAGCTGCACAAGCCTCCCATCTGCCTCCACTCCCCCACCCCTTGCACCACCCCCTCTCCCCTTCCCCCTGCGGCCCCTCCTCCCCCCACCACCACCAACACCCCCCCTCGCACCTCTACTCCCCCTCGCCCCCTCACCTTCTCTCGCCCCTCCCTGCATTTCCCCTCTCCCTGCCAGACCCCTTCCCTCTCCACCCGCCACCTCCTCTCTTCCCCTCCCATTCTCCCTCTCCCCTCCCCTCTCCTCCTCCTCCATTTCCGTTCTCACTCGCTTGGCCGCGGCCAGCAGCAGCTGCTGCTCCCTCTGAAACAGGTCCAAGGCGCTGTCGCCTCCTGTGCTCTTGCTACTGCCGCCGTTACCACCACTAGCACCAGCGTTGCCAGCACCAGCACGTGCGCTGTTGCTGCTGCTGGCATGCCTCTTTCTTGGAAGGTTCGCCCTCACGAGATCTGCCTTGGCCAGAAGGTACTGCTGCCACTCGCGCTGCATGAGCTGGGAAGGTGGAATCCTCCGAGGGGGGGCCAAGGGGGGACATGGGGGGGGGAAGGGGGGCGGGGATTTGGTTGTTTGAAGACTGGTGCAATGGCCCATTTCATGGACATACATAAGAACAGAAAATACAAAATGTGGAATGCGCAAGCTCGTGTCTGCAGAGAGACATGTGCAATGTGAATGGCTTCTCAAGGAAAGGTAGGTAGGTATTGTGCAGAGACAAGTGTGCAGGGTGTGGAATGAGCTCACAGTGGCGGCACCAAATGCAATCACGTCCCGGAGCTGTTGGCAAGTGCGTTCATCCTTGCACGCCACTACCACAGCGGCTGCTGCTGCTGCTGCTGCTGCTGCAGACGCTGCTGCCGCTGTTGCTGCTGCTGATGGTGCTGCTGCTGGTGCTTGCTGCTGCGCGCTGCGCTCCGCTTGAATTTCCTCAAGCAGTTCCTGAGGCCGGGGCGGGCGGCAGCAGGGAGAGGCGGCAGCAGGTGAGCTTTCATCAGGTGACAGAGAGGCACGGGAGAACAGCATGTCAGAGGTATGGATCCCGGCCGTCACCCACATCCTCGCCCTCACCCTCAGTCTCAGCCTCAGCCTCAGCCTCAGCCTCAGCCCCATCCGCAAGGGCTATCTCTACAGCACAGCATGCAGCTCTCCAGCCATCACCCCCCCTTCAGTAAGGGCTACTCCTATAGCACAGTCTGCAGCGTCGCCACCGGCACCGGCTGTAGCACCATCAATCCCCTTGTTAACCCCCAAGCACTATCCACTAACCATACTCACCAGGCGCAGATCCCACCCTTGCATTCACTCACTTACCCTCAGCACCCTACACTTGGGCATCTCCTCCAGCACTGCCTCTCGCTTCAGCACACCCCACACTAGCATTGCATTACCTTGAAGTACCATCCAACAACCCCCACACCAGCATTACCACGTATACTCACCCTCACCACCTTCCACTTGGCCATCTCCTCCAACACCGGCTGTAGCTCCAGCACATAGTCTCCACTCCCTCTGCTCCCTGAACCTTGTATCCATAAACTCACTCTCATCCGTTAACCCTACCACTTGCACATACAATCACCCTCAGCACCCTCCATTGGGCATCCCCAACAATAACGGCTGTAGCTCCAACACACACTCCCCTTCCCTCACTCTAACCCCTTACCATCCCTCACAACCCCACCTTCACCCCTTGCATAATGAGTCGATTTTTGAGTCGACTCAAAAATCGACCCCTTGCATCCACTCTCTCTCTCACTCACTCTCTCACTCACTCTCTCACTCACTCTCTCACTCACTCTCTCACTCACTCGCCCTCAGCACCTTCCCTTTTGGCATTTCCTCCAGCCCTGGCTGTAGCTCCAACTCGCCCTCCCCACTCCCTTTGCTCCCGCCACCATCCCTGCACCCCGCCCTTGCAATCATTGACTCGCCCCTGCATTCACCTTCACTCAACCGCAGCACTTTCCATTTAGGCATCTCCTCCAGTACCGACTGAAGCTCCAACCCAACTTCGCCACTCTCGCAGTGCACTACCTTGAACCACAAACCTGTAACCCCAGGCCCCAGCCCGGCATTACCACGTTCACTCACCCCCAGCACCCTCCCTTCAGGAACTTCCTCTAATACCGGCTGTCGCTCCAACACCCCCCCCCATCACTCACTCTACTCCCCAACCATCCATCATCCCAACATTGCATCCACCCACTCACCCGCAGCACTTTCCATTTGGGCATCTCCTCCAGCACTAGCTGTAACTCCAACCCGCCCTCCCCACTCCCCTTGCTTCCGTCACCCTCCCACCCGTCCTCCCGCACTTCAAGGCCCAAACCCCCTTCCACTCCCCCCTCTCTTTCCGCCCCCTTCTGCTCCTCCGACGCCTTGGTTCGAGCAGCCTGTGAGGCCAGGGCAAAAAATCATGTCAAAGAGAGTCGACAATCGAAGGCAGTTTGGTTGGTGTGGCCACGTGCGCAAGAACACACATTACATGGATGATGTGAGTGTGACGACTGATGGCGCGTGCAGTGCGCGAACATGTAAGTGGCGCCTAAAAAATGCACAAGCACTCGCATGTGTTGTGTCAGTGAAAGAGGGCATGTAGTGGGGTGTGCAAGAGGAGATGTATTGAGGCAGCACCTCACCCTCGTTCTGGTTGGTTTTCTGGCGGCTTCCTGCAGTGATGCAAGCGGCGCCTTTTTAACAACCTGTTCACATAGGGAATACAAGCAGAGTGGCAAGTCAAACCAGCAAGGCAAGTAGCACACACGGAACTGGGGGGTGTGAAAACTTAACAGCTCAGATCTAAGGGGCATTGGCATATTGGACGGTTGGCATCTGTCAGGCATTCGCAAGTGTAAATCTTGTTCGGTTCATGATCACACGACTGGGTTGCAATCGAACAACCATTCATATGCACTCACATGTCACAAGCACGCAAGGAGCGTCTGCTATGAGACAAGAGAGGTGTCTTCTGACAGATTCAGAAGATTCTTTCCAATATCAGTGTGCAAGCTACTTGTGCTATACTGGCTGGAGTGTATGAACAGCGTGTCAATTTGAAACAATATGCACATCACGTTTCCCAGAGTCTGTGTGCTTACCTAGAAAATACCGTTAGCTCCCGTGTGTGGTTAATTCTTCCGCGCTCTGGTGGTTCCCTAACTCTGAACATGAACTGCTTATTCTGCACGCGAGGAGAAGTGGCTCTAACACCCCCTCATTCTCCATTAATAACTATCATGACACCAGCATCGCTAGAGGGGAAGGATGTCCATTTAGCCGACGCTCTATCAAGTCTTAAATAGCACTTACTTAAAGCGTTGGCCGGATACCATTCTTCCCCTCTAGCGATGGTGTCGTCATGACTGTTATTAACGGAGAATTGGGGGGGTGTTGGAGTTACTTCTCCTTGCGTGCGGACTAAGCAGTTCATGTGCAGGGTTAAGGAACGACCAGAGCGCGGAAGAACAAACTAAAGACAAGAGCTAACAGTATTTGCTACGTAAGCACACGGAATCAGAGAATCGTGATGTGCTTGTTGTTTGAAATTGACGTGATTTTCATACACACCAGCCAATATCGCACAAGTAGCCTGCACACTCCCATCAGAACGAGTCTTTTGAATGTGTCAGGAAGTCGCATGGATTCGACCCGCACATGGACTTTCTACTGCTGCTTGGCATGCACATGCCATGGGACAAGGATGGGCATGCCAAGCATCAGTAGAAAAACAAAATCCGTGTTTGCAGTGAGTTAGGGATAAAACATCCGCTATGAAACGCACACACAGCTACAACTTCATGTGGTACACTCCACGCTGGTACAAAGCCCCTTAATACAAAGACATTTAGGTTGCAAGGTTTTACCTTTGCCCATTCCCCACATAAAGAAGTTCTCGCTCCTCTCATCAGGTTCCACCTCACCAGGCACCCCCCACACCAAGCACATCCTTACTTACCTGGTACACCCTTTTCTTAGCCAGCTCAAAGATCTTGGGCCCGCGGACTAGATCGGCACATTCCCCACATAACTAGACCTCAATTTTGCCCATCTGGTGCGCCCTCCGCTTTGCCAGCTCCAAGATCTTGGGCGCAGGGTGCACGGAGATCCAGATGGCAGCCAGCTCTCATGCGCATCTCTCCCCACCAAATACCCCCTAATTGGGCACATCCCTACTCACCTGGCACTCCCTAATTGGGTAGCACCCCCTCATCGGGTACATACATCCCTACTCACCTAGGGCTAAGGGGGCTAACAAACAGTTCTACAGGTACGAGTGTTGAATCTTTGTCCTCCTCCTCCTCTGCTGCCTCTTACCCTCCACTATCACCCTCACCACCATCTCAAAACATTAACAGCACTCACAAATGAACTACCACGGTGCATCTGAAAGTGATTACAATTTAATTACAATATTTATTTCCCCAGGTTTTGGCTGGTTAAAAAAAAACGACCGTATTATACGACCGTTTTTTTGCACCAACCAAAAAACGCACCTTTGAACCGTTTTAAACGGCCGAATAAAACGATTCGTATTTTACGGTAAAAATAAATAAATAAAAAACGACCGTTTTTTTGCACCTTGCCCTCTTTTTAGCCAGCTCCAAGATCTTAGGTGCGGGGTCCACGAAGTTCCAGATGGCGGCCAGATTTCGTGCGCATCCCCCCCTCAGGTGATACCCCCTCACCTGGTACGACCTTACTCACCTGAAACACCTGCCCTTTCGCCAGCACGAATATCTTGGGTGCGGGGTCCATGAAGATTTAAATGGCGGCCTTTGGGTGTGTGGGGCCTAAAGTTTGCCCACTCTGGAACTAGTAGATGCCCACTCCTCTCACCTGGAACACCCGCCTCTTAGCCAGCTCGAAGATCTTGGGCGCGGGGTCCACGAAGATCCAGATGGCGGCCTTTGATTCGCTCGCCTTGAGGGCGTCCAGGAAGCGCAGGAAGGTGACCGCGTCGTAGCGCAGCAGGTGCTCCGCGATCTTTCTCAGGGTCCTCAGATCCGCAACTAGCTGTGGGGCAAGGAGGGATGGGGAAGGCAGGATGGAAAAGGAGGAAGCGCAGGAAGGTGACCACGTCGTAGTGCAGCAGGTTCTCCGCGATTTTCCTCAGGGTCCTCAAATCGGCCACCAGCTGCAGAGCCAAGTGGCAAACAAGGGCAGATGGGGAGGAAGCGCAGGAAGGAAGGTGAACGCGTCATACCGCAGCAGGGGCTCGGCTATCTTCCTCGGGGTCCGTCCGTCGATCTGCGACTAGCTGCACAAGAAGGGGGGGGGGTGGTCGGTCAAGGAGGGAATTAAGGGAGGTCGAGTAGCAAGCACAGGAGTGTGAGTGCATCGTACCGCAGCAGATGCTCCGCTACCTTCCTCAAAGTCCTCAGGTCAGTCACTAGCTGGCAGGGAGGGGGGTGGGCAAGGAGGGATGGGCAAGGAGGGGATGTGGTGGGGGAGGAAGAACAGGAAGTGCAGGTACGTGACAGCAGATGCTCCTCTTAACTTCTGGAAGGTCCTCAGGTCAGCAACTAGCTCCACACCACCTCACCTGCTTGATATTTCACCTCCCCTGCCTGATCTTTCGCCTCCCCTGCTTTCACCTCCCCTGCCTGATCTTTCGCCTCCCCTGCTTTCACCTTACCTGCTTGATCTTGCGGCCCAAAGTGTGCCACACAGGATCCAGCTGGCGCCTCACGATCTCATCAAAGGACTTGAAAAGACCGCTTTCCACCGTCAGATCGTCCATATCCAGCTTGTTTGTACGGCGCAGATCCTTGAAAGAAAGCAGGAGTTCGGTTGGGATGAGAGGGAGAGGACAGATTGAAAGGGCGAAACAACTGTTACTTTTGACATCGCTGCTTGAAGTATACATGCAGACACGCAGAGCAGCATGAGCACACATGAAGGCATGAGACGAGCACACATGAAGGCATGAGACGAGCACACATGAAGGCATGAGACGAGCACACATGAAGGCATGAGACGATGGTGTCATTGACTGCCTGCTGGATGGTAGCGATGAGTCAAGAAGGGTGCGGCTATGGGCTATAGGGTTACAGCGCTATGGGGCTATGGGATATAGGGTTACTTACAGCGCTATGGGGCTATGGGCTATAGCCTATAGGGTTACAGCGCTATGGGGCTTAAGGCTGTGTGCACCTGAAGGCACGAGCCCATGACGTCAATGATTGCCTGCTGGATGGCTGCTGCTGCTGGCGAGAGGGGCACTCTCACGTCCTCCACATGCGGCGGGTGCTGCTCCAACGACTGGGATACGCTAACCTGGGTGATAGTACGGATGGGAGGTATGGGTGGGAAATGCAAAACACTTGAGAGAGCGGGGGAGAGTGAGAGGCACTCTCACGTCCTCCACATGTGGTGGGTGCTGCTCCAAATTTGAGTTGGTTCCTTACGTCCAAATGGCCCACGTACGTAACACATATGCGTAAATTTACTCGTACGTGTGCGCAAGTGGCAAATACGTTTACTTACTAAGGGCAGGGGGTGGGAAAAAAAAAAAAGGGAAACAATTGCCTGTTTTTCCATCAAAACAGCCACTAAAGCTCGCCCTCCACCGTGTCTGCACGCGCTCTACAGATCGCCGTGTATTGTTGAGCGTCAAGAAGCGCTGCAACTTAAGGGCGGTGACCTCCTAGTTTGTAAGGTTCCAGATGTACTACTCAATGAGCTTGTGCCTGCTGTAGGAGATCTCCCTGCTGTTTACATCTACTATGTAGGTTCTTAATGCACCTGGCAGCAATCCACGTTTGTGTGCTGTGGTCTAGCTAGCTGCAATCTACATTCTTCACGTAAACATAAACGTAAGCAGACGTAAACATAAGGAACCAACTTAGCTCCAAATGCCTGCCATACGCTAACCTGGATATTGGGTACCCAGGTTGAAGGTGATCTTTGAGAATTCTCAAAAAGGTACCCACCAGAGCGGAGAAACACGGGGTGGGAACAGAAGACGTCTAAAAAGAAGACACTTGAGAAACTAACGTACACACACTTGCGGCAGTCTACTGGACCCATAATGCATGCTACGAGCTGCTTAAAAGAAACATCACCTGGAATCGCGGCCAGAGGTAGAGGCGGCGCAGGAAGAGCGCTTTAAGGATGCGCTCCGCCTTGTGGAAGCCAGCCGACAACGAGTTGGGGCGGTCCGACAGTGCGTGTATGAAGCCGTGCTTGTTGGTGTCCCTGAGGGTGAGGAACGGGGACCCAAGAGGAGAGGGAGCAGGAAGGGAGGGAGAAAGAAGAGTCGTTTGAGGAAGCGCTTTGCCGTGTGACAGAAAGCTGGCAGAGAGCGAGTTGGGGCGGTCAGAGAGGGCGTGGATGAACCCGTGTTTGCTGGCGTCCCTGAGAGGAAGTAAAGGCGGGGTCCAAGGAGAGAGGGGGGAGGAGGAGGACGAGGGTGCGGAAAAAGAGATGCGCCTGTTGGAGTGTTCCTGAGGGGAAAACACGGGGCTTTAAGGAGTTTGTAGGAAGGAGAGACTCGAGATGATGATCCAGTGACTGTGGCAGGTCAGCAGTGCGTGCATCATACTGTGCATGCCGCCGTGCTACTTGGCATCCCTGTTAGCTGTGCTGTGCGTATGACGTGCCCGAAGGGAGTATTGAGATTTATTCGTACGCCAATTCAACCCGGACTGAAATGCCACTTGTGCCTCATGAAGAATCACCACCCGCCCACCTGAACACTCACCTGAAGGACGAATACCCGCCCATCCGAACATCGACCTGCAGAACCACCACCCACGCACCTGCACACCCACCTGAAAGACCAATACCCGCCCACCTGAAAGACCAATACCCGCCCACCTGAATAGCCTGAGAATGAAGGCCTCTGCTCCTGTGTCCGTGACTCGGTGTGCATTCACCACCACTATGCCCTTAAGCTGACGGGGGTAGCGGCAGGGCGGGTGGGGTGGAATGAGGCGAGTAGAGGGGAAAGGAGGAGTGCGTGACTTGGTAGCAACACCACCTCCTGTGCCTGAGCGTGACTCTGTGTGCTTTCACCACCTCTATGCCCTTGAGCCGAGGGAGGGTAGCAGCAGGGCGGGTGGGGTGGAATGAGGCGAGTAGAGGAGAGAGGAGGAGCGGATGACTTGATAGCAGCACCACCTCCTGTGTCTGTCTGTGCGTGACTTCGTGTGCGTTCACCACCACTACGCCCTTGAGCTGAGGAATTAAGAGCGAAGGAAACATGCAGGACGGTGGGCGAGGGGGGGGATAAGGGAAACACGCGATCAGCTGTTGCTGACAAACATGAACAAACTATACCTTATTCAAGGGCGCCTTGCAAACGAGCATATCAACAGTGGGAATGTGAGGAGTGACTGTGAAACAACCTTACGCGTATCTATGTTTGCATGCATACATACATAAACTGCACCTTATTGGCGAGCACTCGATCCGAGAGCATCTTGATGACGAGAGTACGAGAAGTCACCGCAAGCACTCCGCCTCTTGCTACAGAACATGTACACACATACGTGAATGATACAGGCTTGTACCTTATTGAAGGGCACTCTATCCGAGAGCATGTCGACGATGAGGATGCGGGAGGTCACGGCAAAGCACCCTCCCTCGCGGTAAGCCGCCACCCTTTCAGCGCTGGACATGCTGCTGTTGACATCTGCCAGCACACAGGGGACTGCAGCCGGGTGCAGCGCAGCCGATGGGGCTGCTTGTCCCTCTGCTTGTCCCCCTGCTTGTCCCTCTGCTTGTCCCTCTGCTCCATCGGATGCCATTACAGCTGACGCCACTGTGGCCTCGAGTCCCCCTGCTAATGGTACTGTAGCAGCAGCTATGCTTCCTGACGCTTGAGGCACCGCTACTGCTGCTGCTGCTGCTGCTGCTGCTGCTGCTGCTGCTGCTGCTGCTGCTGCTGCTGGCAGATGGTCCTGGGAAGCAGCGGATGGGCTGGGCTGAGAGGTTTGAGCGGGAGGGGCGGCAGTAGGTGGGGTGCAGCGGGAAGGAGCGGCGGCCAGAGCTTTGTTCAACGCCTGAAGCTCCTCCTGCACCGCCTGGTGTGGACGGGGGTAGGGAAGAGGGGGGGGGGGGCGCGCGGGAGGTAAGATTGTCCTGGGCAGCGGCAGGTGGAGTGGAGCGGGAAGCGGCAGCGGCCAGAGCTCTTGAGCGCCTGAAGCTCCTCCTGCACCGCCTGGTGTGCACGTGTGTGCGCCCGAGGGGGTTGGGGGGTGTCGTTCGTCGAAGGGGGGGAACGGGGAGGGGGTGGAGAGAGGAGGGGTTGTGGGGTTCGCGTGTGTTCAGGAAGTGGGGGGGAAGGGGAGGGGTTGGGGGGGGGGGGGGGGGGGGGAAGGAAAGGTTGACGGGGGAAGAAGGAGATGAAGAAGTATACATCGTTTGAGGCCCAAGGTTTAAAGCCCAAGGTTTAAAGTGCGGGGGTATGGAGAAACAAGGGCATAAAATCCGGTGAGTGGATGATGAACCAAGCAACAGCCTCTTGTGCCAAGTCCGTACCTGCCTCTGCTCCTCCGCCAATCCAATCACAAACATCAACCGCCCGTTATAACCACCCCGGCTGCTGCTGCTGCTGCTGCCGCCGCCAAAGCTGCTGCTCCCGAGGCTGCGGGTGCAAGTGGCGTTGGTGATGTGATAGTAACGAACGAGGAGCGCTAGCACCTTATGCAGGCCCAGCCCGGCCCCCATGACCGCCAGGCCGTCCTCCTCCTGCAGCTGCGCCACTATCTCCTCGTGAAACGACAGCATGGTGGCAGATTAATATAAAACCAGGAGATCTACTGGGTCCTTCAAACTCGGATTTTTTTCAATAGGTCGTCAATACGAAGTCCTCAAAACAGACCGTCCTCCTCCTGCAGCTGCGCCACTATCTCCTCGCGGAATGCCAGCATGGCGGCCCACTGAGAACCGCTAAGAACCGGATATTCTGATAAGCCGTCAAAACAAGGTCGTCAGGACAATGCGTCCTCCTGCAGCCGCGCGGCCACCTCCTCTTGGAATGCCAGCCTGGCGGCAGATTAAAGCCAGGTGATATAATGGGTCCTCGACACGAGTCTCGAAACAGGCCGTTCTCCTCCTCGAATGCCGACGACACGGCCACTAAATCCTGCGACCGGCAAGAATTATAAAGTGGATTGCGAATCTGAAACGGAATCTACGGTAAAGGCTGAATCAGACTCAGGCTATTTCCTCGCGGAGCTTTAGCGCAGCTCTCCAGCCGACTGACACATCACAAGACGGTTGGCAGATTGAAGAATATCGCGTTTCAAAGAGACCACGGCGAGGTGAGAGCCTGATCGACGCAGATCAAGCACGTCGTGTTTGGGAGAAAATCCTCACTCGCACAGCGAGATTGTTGAGTCGAGTCTGGTAATCTTGGGCTAAAGAATAATCTACAAGTCGAGCAGGTCAAGAATGGTGGGTGAGCAGGGCTTGTTTGCCGTCAAGATCACGCTCAAAAAGGAAAGGAGGCCAACAACAAGAGATCCAGAACGAACGCGGTATAGACAGCCTGAAACTCACTACGGTCTGTTCATAACGGAATAACAGCATTTAGGTTTCTACCATTCTAGATCTATAACCTACGCTTTTTTAAAGAAAATCATGAAAAATAAAAAAACATCTGATGTACATTTTAAAAGTGCTTTTATTTAACGTAGTTCATCCTAGCATGATTCATGCATCAAGCACTTACTATATGGAACACAAGTGTTGTATAATGCACAAGCTTCGAGTCTATGTATACCCAACCATAATTCTGGAATTGCGCCAATAAATGGGCACCTATTTTTTGGCATTGACTTGACGCCCCTGAAACTCTAGCATCATACATACACTAGAGAGGGAATCGTCTACCAAAATGTACAGATTATTTGAATTAGGTCTTCTGATTGCTTCTGATTATCAGGTGGAGAAAAAGCCGCAGAAGCAGCTGCCTTCTGCGCATTTTGCCATGCCACATGTCACCCGATGGAGCCGCACCGTCTCTTAGCGTCTCTATCCAAGCCGTCAGATCGCCTCTTCCTCTTGCGCGTCGAGGACGACATCCTGCGCTTTCTCTCCCGCCCGTGGGGTTCCTCTCCCCCATTCGGCTCCGCCTCCCCTGACGCCTCAGCAAATCCGCGGAACCCTCCGCCAGGTTCCCCTAACGCCCGCGCGGCTTCGCCTGCAAGCTCCCCCAATAACAGAGCGCCGCGCGCCGATAACAGCGCCGCTTTTCCGCCGCTTCCCGATCGAGCTGGCGGAGCCGGTTCCGTTGCGCGCCAAGGCGGAGCGGGAACCCCTGCGCGGCGGCGCGTGCGGCCAGGCGCGGAGCCGTGGACACGTGGCGGCTCTGCGCGCGCGAGGGGAGAAACGGGGGAAGGAAGCGTCAGGCCGGGGGAAGCGGGGGAAGGAAGCGGCAGGTCGGGGGTGGCTGTAGATAGTGACACAGCCGCGGGAGGCGCTGGGAAGAAGATCCGCGCCGAGGTTGAGGCGCGGGCCGAGGGGAGACCAGAGCGGGGGGGAGAAGCCCGGGAAGAGGTGCGGAAAGAGGCGGGGGGAGGGGCGCGGGAAGCGGAAAGTGAGGACGCGCGCGGATGTGTGCATGGGGGTGAGGGGGGAGCGGAGGCGCGGAAGGCGCAGGATGCAGGGGGGTTGGCGGAATGCATAGGGGGAGAGGGGGGCGGTGGGAGAATGGGGTACCATAGAGAAAGGAGAGAAGGGGAGGACGAAGGGGAGAGAGAAGGGGAGGAGGGATGGGGGAGTGAGGGAGATGGGGAGGAGTGTGAAGGAAGGGGGTTGAATGCACCCCGAGGGGCGGCATGGGCGGCTGCTGCAGCAGCAGATGCGCGGGCAGCAAAGGGGAGGGGGGGCATGGCGCGCAGAAAAGGACAAAATGGGCTAGTGGCAGGAGAGGAGGGTGGAAGAGAAGCAGACGAAAGGGGGGAGAGAGGGAGGGGAGGGAGGGGAGGGAGGGGAGGGGCCGTGAGAGGAGAGAACAGCGGGGCAGCAGCAGGGGGGTCGTCGAGAAGGGATGTAACGGTGGGGGGTGCAACAGTAGCTGATGCAACGGGGAGAGATGTAACAGCAGGAGGTGTAACGGTAACAGTGGTAACAGGGGATGCAGCATCAGATGTGCTGCTGGTGTTCCCGAAGCTGCGCTCCTACCACCGCCTGCTAGCGCACACTGTGGCTAAGAGGTTCGGCCTCTCCTCCTCCTCCTACCCCCTCTGGAGCAACACCGGCTACAAGCACGTGTGCTGCAACCTCACTAAGGAGCAACTCATTAGTAGGCTAGCAACAACGGCACACATGGTTTCAGAGTGGAAAACACACGCTTGCAGCTATGTGCCTCCACTTCTGCTGTCCGATTTTATTCCGGGCAGCACCAGCCGTGAGCGCACGCTTGACCTGGCGACACAGGCCTGCCCGCCGCCAAAACGTTTCTCGCTGCCCATTACTGTTGCCGGAGGAGGGAGGGGTGGAGGGCAGGGTGGAAGAGGGAGGGAGGGAAGAGGAGGAGAAGGGAAAGGTGATGAGATTGCAGAGAGTGAGGGGGGTGGGCTGTCTCCTGTTCCGAAGAGGAAGGGACGGGGAAGGTTCTTGTACCATGAGAGCGAGAGAAAGGGGGGCGTTGAGAGTTCAGGACGCAACCACTGGAGAAAGGGAGAGGAGAGAGGTGGGACGAGGCAAGGGCAGGGCACGTGGGCAGCAGCAACGAGAGGGGTTGCACGAAGGAACGGTTTCGGAGAGCATTGGAGGCATGAGAAGGGAAGAGGGGAGGAAGGGAGGCACTGGGGGGAGAAGGGCGGGTGGGAGGGGGCGAGAGGAGGGGAAGGCAGCAGGGGCTGGGATAGGTGGGGCGAGGCAAGGGAGGGGCGGCATCAGAAGGGGAGGGAGGGGAGTGGGTGGGGAGGGAGCGGGGAGGAGTATGGGGGTGGGGAGAGCAGCAGAGGGATGACAGCGGCTGAGACAGTGACAGTAGCGGAGGAGGATTTTGATGCAGATGAGGGGCTGGAGGGTGTGACTATAGCGAGGGCGGTGCATGACTACAGGATGTGGCAGGTGGAGGAGGAGAAAGACAGGAGACCTGGTGAGGGCGAGAGGATGAGACTGCATCCAGGGAGCATGGATGGCTCACAGGGCTTGCGTGACGATGGTGCAAAGGGCTTGCCTGCAGCCCCTAGGGAGGGTTCTCCTAGCCAAGAGGATCTGCCAGCCGCCAGCACTCGGCACATTCTGGTGGTTCGTGCGGACTTAGGTGCTCTTGAGAAGGCAACTGGCAGTCTCAAGGGCGGGACAGGGGCTACTAACGATAATGATCCTGCCTCTGCTCCTTCAAGTGCCGTCGTTGCTGGCTTTGGCAGCGCTGATGGTATTGCTTCTGCCGTCACAGCTGCACAGGCGTTACAGGAGAGGTCTGAGTTGCTCCCTGGTGTTTCGCCGCCTAATGGGTTGCTGCCTGTTGAGTTGCAGCCTGTAGCGCTGGTGCGGAGTGCAGTGGCGGCAGCCACAGGGCTAACGGCATCTGTAAGGGCAGTGGGAGTTGCATCAGCAGAGGAGGCAGGGGAGACGGAGGAGGCTGAGGATGCAGAGGGGACCTTTCTGCTGGTCTTTGCGTCGGTGGAGTTGGCAGGTGCGGCCGAGTGGAGGATCAGAGAGGCCAGGAGGAGGGCCAGACGGACACAGGACAAGAGGGCAATTGGCGGTGAGGAGAAGAGAAAGCTGGGCAGAGGTAGTGGGCGGGTTGGCGGCGAGAGGAGAGGAGATGGGGGCAACTGCCTAGCGACTGGTAGGCACGGGCAGCCTGGTGTTGAAGTGAGTGAGGAGCTGAGCGATGGCAGCAAGGATGGTTCTTCCCCAGCGGTTAGTGGCAGCCTCTCACAGCCACACACTGCTGGTTCAGATGGCGATAGCAGCAACGCTAAGGCGACTGCGCGTGGAGGGTTGGGTGAAAGCCTGGATGGGGGTCTGGATGGAGGTTTTGTGCGAGCTGTGGCGTGCTGCCTGGCGGTGTCCCGCTTTGAGGAGGCGTCGGCTGATGTGCTGGCAAGCTGCCATTGGTCGGCTCCTGAGAGGAGGAAGACCCGTGTGGATGGCGCTGCTGCTGCCCGACTGCTGTCCCGCTCCCTCGTGTGACCCGACTAACAACTTGACCTGAGCTGATCCCAGCTGCTATGCTAGCATGCTACTGTACCGCTAGCTGGTCGGTTCCAAAGCGAAGGAAGCCGCGGGTGGATGGCGCTGCTGCTGCTCGCCTGTTGTCCCACCCCCTTGTGCGACTAATCCTTTGTATTCTGATCCGGGGCTTGTCAGATCTCGCCTTGGTGAAATTTCGCCTGTACGTACACGGGCCTCATCTGTAGATCCCTACAAGCACTTAATTCAGTTTTTTCTTCAATACCTTTTGGTACCTCGGGTCACCTGCCTTACCGCGTACAAGAATTTCGGCTCGCCTCCTCATAAGTTACCATGCGCCTCTCATCTCGTTCAACCGTTGCCTTCGCGGCTTCGTGGCCAGAACGTCTGCCTCAAATCTCGCTGCACTTCGATTCGAGCCAGGAGCGAGCATCATATTTGCCCGATAGTTACCTCCACACACGAGTTCGCACTATCTTTCGCTCGCAACTTCGCTTGCTCCCTCGATCACACCGCCCCCAGCATGTCTTGCCTGACACCTTCCTGACACATTCAGGCTACACGGGAAGTTGCTTCGAGGCCAAGGAGTAGCATTTCTATGCGGATCGTGAGAAGCGGATCGTAAGTAGCGGATCGTAGAAGGGGAACCGTACAACAGGGAAGTTGAAGAGCTGGTGTCCTCTTTATGGGAGTTGAACATGCGTTTCCGGTGGCCCGCTAATCCGAAGAAGCGGCGAAGGTCCTTCTCTCGAGCGACGCTCATAAAACTCGCTGTAGCACTTTTCCTCGCCTGCGAAGCCCTTTACTTGGTAACCACCCGTTTCGCCTTCGCGCGGCCTCCTGCAGCGGTAGTCGTCGACTTCGCTCGAACCCTTTTCAACGGCCGGTGTGTGCGGGGGCTCTCGTGCGTCGGAAACGTGGTCAACGCCGCCGCGCCGCTCGACTTTCCGGAAGCGTGTGCGGACGTCCTTGGGGCTCCGCGCTGGCGTGAGTGGCCCTGGCGGTACCGTACAACGGGGAGCCATGCCGCGTTCATGCGCCGACTCGGGAGGTTCTTCGGACGCCACGACGCGACGCCGAACGCTACTACCTGCAGCGCCAGGCTGTGCCGTGCGCTGCAGCAGTGGGCCCAGCTCGCGCGAGAGCGGGAGCCACGCACGAAAGACGATTCGCTCAAAGACGATCCGCTAAAGGACGATTCGCTAAAAGGCGACCCATTACCGGAGGAGGAGGTGGCGAGGCAGCAGGCGGCGGGCGTGGGGCAGGTCTGCACGGAGGCGTGGCGGAGCGGCGTGATGGCGCGAGTCGGCAGCAGCAAGTTCATTCGGCGGCTGGTGGCGGAGGGAGAGACGAGCCTGGCGAGCATCACAGCGGGGATCGACGCCGTGTGCGCGCCATGCAAGCACGTGGAGGCCACGCTGCTGGACAGGAGCAGCAATGCCACGTCAGCATGTGGCGATTGGCCGGAGGAGTGCTGGCCTGTGCCTCGCATGCCGTTCTCCTCACTCTCTGTACGAGCCATGCCATGCGAGCCGTGCCATGCGAGCCATGCGAGCTCCAGCCAGTCATCTAGCGTGGCCTACTTTCTGTCGCCCACCGTTGATTCCACCGCCTGCCATCCTCTCCTCCAGCCCCCTCGGGTCCCTTTTGAGTCGACTCAAAAGTCACCGTTGATTCCACCGCCTGCCATCCTCTCCTCCAGCCCCCTCGGGTCCCTTTTGAGTCGACTCAAAAGTCACCGTTGATTCCACCGCCTGCCATCCTCTCCTCCAGCCCCCTCGGGTCCCTTTTGAGTCGACTCAAAAGTCACCGTTGATTCCACCGCCTGCCATCCTCTCCTCCAGCCCCCTCGGGTCCCTTTTGAGTCGACTCAAAAGTCACCGTTGATTCCACCGCCTGCCATCCTCTCCTCCAGCCCCCTCGGGTCCCTTTTGAGTCGACTCAAAAGTCACCGTTGATTCCACCGCCTGCCATCCTCTCCTCCAGCCCCCTCGGGTCCCTTTTGAGTCGACTCAAAAGTCACCGTTGATTCCACCGCCTGCCATCCTCTCCTCCAGCCCCCTCGGGTCCCTTTTGAGTCGACTCAAAAGTCACCGTTGATTCCACCGCCTGCCATCCTCTCCTCCAGCCCCCTCGGGTCCCTTTTGAGTCGACTCAAAAGTCACCGTTGATTCCACCGCCTGCCATCCTCTCCTCCAGCCCCCTCGGGTCCCTTTTGAGTCGACTCAAAAGTCACCGTTGATTCCACCGCCTGCCATCCTCTCCTCCAGCCCCCTCGGGTCCCTTTTGAGTCGACTCAAAAGTCACCGTTGATTCCACCGCCTGCCATCCTCTCCTCCAGCCCCCTCGGGTCCCTTTTGAGTCGACTCAAAAGTCACCGTTGATTCCACCGCCTGCCATCCTCTCCTCCAGCCCCCTCGGGTCCCTTTTGAGTCGACTCAAAAGTCACCGTTGATTCCACCGCCTGCCATCCTCTCCTCCAGCCCCCTCGGGTCCCTTTTGAGTCGACTCAAAAGTCACCGTTGATTCCACCGCCTGCCATCCTCTCCTCCAGCCCCCTCGGGTCCCTCCCTGAGCTCCTATTACAACTCACCTGCCACCCTTCGACGCATTCCTCGCACATCATCATCATCATCATCATCATCATCATCATCATCATCATCATCATCATCATCATCATCATCATCATCATCATCATCATCATCATCATCATCATCATCATCATCATCATCATCATCATCATCATCATCATCATCATCATCATCATCATCATCATCACCAGGTTTACCCTCCCCCCACAGCCAGGTTACCTTCCCCCCCCTCCGTACACGCTATCCGATCCTGCACCGCTCGCGATGCCAGAGGAGCAGCTCAGCAGCGAGGTGTCTTCTGGATTTGAGGCACCTCAATAATAGACTCTTATCACGCGATGCCAGAGAGCAGCTGAGCACTGAGGTGTCTTCTGACCACTCGAAATTCACCCCTTGCTTGCTTCCGCGCCCCCATGAGGACTTTCGCCGCCGCAAGTACCTCGTGTTTGCCATGTCCGAGGAGCAGAGCAGCTCAGCAGTCAAGCGTCTTCTGACCACCCAAAAGCCAGCCCGTGCTTGCTTTCTCGCCCATCCCTCGCCCCTCCCTCGCCCCCATCAGGACTTCCCGCGCCGCAAGTACCTGGTTTTTGCCATGTCAGAGGAGCAGCTCAGCAACGCGCGCACGCACATCGTCGAGGCAGCCCGCCTTGCCCGCATGGCCAACCGCATCCTCGTTCTGCCCAATGTAAGCGATGTGGGCCACGTTGCGGGTTCGGTGCTGTTGCCTGTGGCGTGTGCCGTACCCTACCCTATGGCATGTGCGGGTTCGGTGCTGTTGCCTGTGGCGTGTGCCATACCCTACCCTATGGCATGTGCGGGTTCGGTGCTGTTGCCTGTGGCGTGTGCCATACCCTACCCTATGGCATGTGCGGGTTCGGTGCTGTTGCCTGTGGCGTGTGCCATACCCTACCCTATGGCATGTGCGGGTTCGGTGCTGTTGCCTGTGGCGTGTGCCATACCCTACCCTATGGCATGTGCGGGTTCGGTGCTGTTGCCTGTGGCGTGTGCCGTACCCTACCCTATGGCATGTGCGGGTTCGGTGCTGTTGCCTGTGGCGTGTGCCATACCCTACCCTATGGCATGTGCGGGTTCGGTGCTGTTGCCTGTGGCGTGTGCCATACCCTACCCTATGGCATGTGCGGGTTCGGTGCTCTTGCCTGTGGCGTGTGCCGTACCCTACCCTATGGCATGTGCGGGTTCGGTGCTGTTGCCTGTGGCGTGTGCCGTACCCTACCCTATGGCATGTGCGGGTTCGGTGCTGTTGCCTGTGGCGTGTGCCATACCCAACCCTATGGCATGTGCGGGTTCGGTGCTGTTGCCTGTGGCGTGTGCCATACCCTACCCTATGGCATGTGCGGGTTCGGTGCTGTTGCCTGTGGCGTGTGCCGTACCCTACCCTATGGCATGTGCGGGTTCGGTGCTGTTGCCTGTGGCGTGTGCCATACCCTACCCTATGGCATGTGCGGGTTCGGTGCTGTTGCCTGTGGCGTGTGCCATACCCTACCCTATGGCATGTGCGGGTTCGGTGCTGTTGCCTGTGGCGTGTGCCATACCCTACCCTATGGCATGTGCGGGTTCGGTGCTGTTGCCTGTGGCGTGTGCCATACCCTACCCTATGGCATGTGCGGGTTCGGTGCTGTTGCCTGTGGCGTGTGCCATACCCTACCCTATGGCATGTGCGGGTTCGGTGCTGTTGCCTGTGGCGTGTGCCATACCCTACCCTATGGCATGTGCGGGTTCGGTGCTGTTGCCTGTGGCGTGTGCCATACCCTACCCTATGGCATGTGCGGGTTCGGTGCTCTTGCCTGTGGCGTGTGCCGTACCCTACCCTATGGCATGTGCGGGTTCGGTGCTGTTGCCTGTGGCGTGTGCCGTACCCTACCCTATGGCATGTGCGGGTTCGGTGCTGTTGCCTGTGGCGTGTGCCATACCCTACCCTATGGCATGTGCGGGTTCGGTGCTGTTGCCTGTGGCGTGTGCCATACCCTACCCTATGGCATGTGCGGGTTCGGTGCTGTTGCCTGTGGCGTGTGCCATACCCTACCCTATGGCATGTGCGGGTTCGGTGCTGTTGCCTGTGGCGTGTGCCATACCCTACCCTATGGCATGTGCGGGTTCGGTGCTGTTGCCTGTGGCGTGTGCCATACCCTACCCTATGGCATGTGCGGGTTCGGTGCTGTTGCCTGTGGCGTGTGCCATACCCTACCCTATGGCATGTGCGGGTTCGGTGCTGTTGCCTGTGGCGTGTGCCATACCCTACCCTATGGCATGTGCGGGTTCGGTGCTGTTGCCTGTGGCGTGTGCCATACCCTACCCTATGGCATGTGCGGGTTCGGTGCTGTTGCCTGTGGCGTGTGCCATACCCTACCCTATGGCATGTGCGGGTTCGGTGCTGTTGCCTGTGGCGTGTGCCATACCCTACCCTATGGCATGTGCGGGTTCGGTGCTGTTGCCTGTGGCGTGTGCCGTACCCTACCCTATGGGACGGGCCGCCCATTTTCTGCTCTCGGCCTGACCTTTGGCGGCCCGCCCCTGGGCCCCCTCGCCCCGCCCCCGGCCCTGTTTTTGCCCCTGGCAGGCCCTGGCCCGCCCCCAGGCCAAGGTCGGCCCGACCCCTAAACCTGGGTACGGGCAGGCCGACCAGAAACGGGCCGGGCTGGGCCTATGCTCATGCCTATGTGCGGGGTGTGCGCTTTAATGTGCGGTTGGACCCATGTGTCACTCTTTATCTTGCTCTCTCACTCTGATAGAACTTGCCTGCCCTGCCAGTGGGTCTTGAGCCTTGCCTTGTGGTGCGTGAATAGTCCTTAACGCGTGTGTGTTGCGTTCTGTGTTGCGCGTTACCAGATGACCCGTGCTGTACCATGTGATTGCGACTGGTAACCTTCTATTACGCCTTAAGAAACGTACGGAGGCACCCTCCCCACCCCTCAACCCCACCCGCAAACTCCTCCCCCTCCCCCCAACCAACCGTCTGCCTCCAAACTCGCCGCACATCCCACCGCATCCCACATCACGGCAGGCCAGCCGCAGCCATCTATCGCTGGGCAGAGCCCTGCCCCTCTGCACCTACTGGGATTTCTCTCAGCTCTCAGCTGAGTATGAGTGGGTGTCGCCGCACTTCTTCCTCCTACTCGCCCGCGCCACTCTCGCCAACCCCTCTGTTGGGTTCGTGTGGGTGGAGTCCCCGTACCTCAATCGCACTGTCTTCCACTATGGTACGTACGGGTGAGGGAACGAATGGTACGGCCCTCTCTACCTCCTCCTCTTCTCTTTCACCGTTGAGTCATTCCATTCCGCCTCCAGCTTGGACGTGTGGAGCTTAGCGTGTGGGTCCCGGGGGAGGGGTGTAGCGAGATGATTCCATTCGACCAGCTGAGTCCATTCCACCTGGTGAGTCCATTCCACCTGCTGAGTCCATTCGACTTGGTGATTCTGTGCTGCTGAGTAGGTGGGGAGGCGGCAGGCAGGGAGGGGAGGGAGGATCTGGACCGGACTCGTTGCCGAGGGAGTCTCTCACTGCGCTGGGCTGCGCTGCGCTGGCTCACTAGCGCCAGCTGGCCACAATGCGCTGCTCTTGAATGAACCACTCACTGGACGACTCTGTTCTTGGTTCAGACCAGAGCTCATCTTCTCACTGGAATGATCCGTAGGTCTTCCTCATGTGCAGAGGAAATCAGTCACCCTATCTGCACGAGGATTGCTTTCCTCTGTTTTCTCTGCGGTCTCCCTTGTTCCAGATAGGGTGACCGATTTCCTCGGGCAGCTGCTGGCGTTTTCAGCTGGACACGTGCCCCTGGAAAGCAACACCCTGCAAGTGAGAATGCCAGCGGCGAAAGACGACCTCGCACGCATGTTACAGGCGTGGTACGTCGCATGGCACTTGTTGTGTTGCGTGGAAGTTCTGTGCAGAGCATGCAGTTGCATGCTTGGTCTGCCTAGGCCCGGCTTTTGAATGAGACGGTGCTGTGCTCCTGGTAAGGCCGGGTAGAACTGGGTGGGGGCGTGGAAGTAGGCTTGACCAGAGGCCGGCCCGGCCCGGACCGTCGTGTATGGGACAAGAGCTGGGTCAGCCTACACGACGCCTGACTCGGGCTCACCTTAGGGTGGAAGGGAAGGTGGGCCCGAGTCAGGCCGGCCCTCGGCCCGTGGACGCCCACGACTACGGGTCCAGTCCCCCTGAGAATGGAAGGCGAGGGGGAATGGGGCTGCTGTTCCCAAAGCTTGCTCCTTGCGCCGTCAAGGCAGGGTTGTAGAGGGCCACCCTGGTGGTGATGCATGGGCAGTGGTACCCCTAGCGGGTCACCCTGGTGGTGACACATATATGGGAAGTGGATAGTCTACTAAGGGGTTGCGTTGCAGCTGGTTGGCAGAGAGGTTGCTGAATGCAGCTGGTTGGCAGAGAGGTTGCTGAATGCAGCTGGTTGGCAGAGAGGTTGCCGAATGCAGCTGGTTGGCAGAGAGGTTGCCGAATGCAGCTGGTTGGCAGAGAGGTTGCTGAATGCAGCTGGTTGGCAGAGAGGTTGCTGAATGCAGCTGGTTGGCAGCTAAGTTGGAATATACGCGTATCGCGTTTTATACGAAATCGTTTATACGAGAGCGTATAAACGCGATACGCTTAGGAGGAGGGGGTCGGATACGCACAGAATACGGTGACCCGGGCAGGGAAAAAACTTTTCTGGGCAGGTGGAACTACGGTAGGGTTGAGCAAACTACCTGCCCGGGTCGGGTACCCGGTACCCGGACCCGCTTTTAGGGCGGGTCGGGTATCGGAAAACCTGAAAATTACCCGGCGGGTCGGGTCCGGGTTACCCGGGGCGGGTATCAATACCCGCTACCCGAAATGCTACCCGACGCGTCGGGTAGCGGGTACCCGACCCGAAATCGGGTAGCGGTCTACCCGATGGAACCAGCGAGACATTAGTCGCGCTGGTAGAGAAATTTCATCAAATTTCTAGGTTAGGTGAGCTGCTAGGTCACTTAGAGCATTGTAGATTGGCAGGGGTTGGGTTTCGTAGATACAGATGCATTCAAAGTGGTTGAATTGGGGGGAATTGGTTGGAAGTCAAACCAATCGAATTTCCCCAATCGATTTTGCAACCCAACCTGAATCCAGCCAACCGCACAGCACCACATTGGTTGGAGTTCCAACCAATTGACTCTGGGGGTCAAAGAATCAAACCCCCAGAAACCGCACACAACCCCATTCCAACTAGAAAACCCAACCAACTCCCCACTCAGGCCCCACTCACGACCCACTCACCACACCAGAACTGTTAAAGATTGGCGCACCTCATACTCCCTCCCGCAGCTCACGTTTTTTGAAGCACCATCTAGGTCGTAGGCTTAGTAGCCCAACAGGGTAGAAAAACGCGGGTAATACTACCCGCTTTTCAAGGAAACCGGGTCGGGTATACCC